CTGGACCTGCACCTGGCTTTTAGTTTAGTTTTGGAAAGGATCTACAAATATACATTGACTTGTTTAATCAGCAAAGAGTCCCAAAGAGCAGCGATCATGAGAACAGACCAAACAGGACACAGCTCCCATACATTGTGAGGTGTTACAGATGCAAACACAAATCACAAAGGGACTGAGCAGAACATGAACCTTCTCTGGTGCTTCAGTCTCTCCTGCTACCATGAAGTGCCCCAGGGAAAAGCTCTTCTCTTTCTAATCTCCAGTCCCACCCCCATTTACTCCCCAGGAGCTTTCTGCTGACTTCAGGCTGAAGTTGAACCCAGGAAGGATCCCATAGGGAAAATTGTAGGACAGGCCCCAAAGGCTTTATGGATACACAAAGACATGCTTCTCTCACACACAACATGAACCCTTGGCCTCAGTGCCACTCAGGAAGTGGTGGCACAGATCAGGCTGTGGATTAAGCAAAAACTCACTTTTTGCTTTGATGGTATCTCAATAACAGTTCTTGAAAGACCACAGTTTATGTTTTCATAGTTGAGCAAGCACTTAAGACATAAAGCAGTAGTGTAATTAGAGAGATGTGGAGCAGCTCTAATGCTGGATGTTAATGAATGTATGTTGGTTTAACAGATATTGCAATATTAGTTTATATCAGCACCCTTTCTAAAACTAATACATCCAAAGCCTTACAGGAACAAAACCACAGCGGGATATCGAAGTTATCTTACAAAGGAATAAAAGTATAAGATAAAAAGGTCATTACAGAGCTGGTGTGCACTGATTGGCCTTTATCATCTCCAGAAGTGTGCCCAGCTATCAACAAGGGGGGATAATAGAAGCTGAATTAGAGACTGTGCAGCTGGAGAAAGTCAGCAGTCAGGGAATTTAGTTCATTTCTCTCTTTTTTTTTTTAAATTTTATTTTACTTTAGGACTGTGCATAGCATTTTTGCTGTTGATGGTGCTGCAAATCAGTGCTTCATGCTTAAGTGGCCTACCAGCAGCATATTCCCCCATCATCTGGGAAACAAGAATAGCCTGTGACAAGGCAGGCACTCACAGCAGAAGACACAAATGCCTTTACTGAGTTGTGGTGCACAAAACCCAGCTCCAAGTCTATCTATATTTCATCCCTACATTTCTGAGTACGTAAAACCTCCAACAAATTTTGAGTCAGAGCCAAAACATTCAGGTTAAAAACTCCAACAACTTATTGAGACATCAAGAAAACCAAACAGACTTTGTTTAATGAATTATATGAATACTCAAAAAAAAACACCCCAAAATAAAACAACAAAACCCACAACACATTCTGGTATGCCTTTATGTTTTTTGCAACTTTTGATGTGAGTATTTAAGTTCTGCATATGTCAAGGAGCTGCTGGAGAACTAAGTCTAATCTATAACTCTTATAAGTTGCCATAGTTCCTCTGAAATCAAGGGATGTTTTGACAATTTACACCATCTGAGGCACTGCTCTGTGTGTTTAATAAAAGGCACTGCTGTTTAATTACAGGAAAGTTCATAAGTAGCTCAAGAAAAAGCCGGTCCTTTCAGGAATAGTCATTTTTTGTTCTTCTCAACTCACTAAGAAGTTTGGTGTCAAAAGCCATCCTTTTTCAATAAAGACCAAAAATGTGCCTTTAGCTGAAGGAGACAGTTCTATGCATTGTAGTGAACTTAATTTGAAGTGCTTTGAGGTGGTTTTGGAGAGGAGAAGTAGGGAGGTACCTATTACAGTGCCATCAGAGCACTGAAATAAAGGGTGAGAAGACTGGGGGCAGTCAGAGATCACCAGAGCTCATCATGGGACCAACAGAACATCAGTTCAAACATTCCAAGGTTTTTAGATAGTCTAGGAGAGCGAACGAGGGAGGAACCACATATTACATGTACTAATTTCTGCAAGGATTTGCTTGCTATTGATCACATTTTAGGAACGTGGTTTAGTGGTGGCCCTGGCTGTGCTGGGTTAATAGTTGGACTCTATAGCCTTAAAGGTCTTTTCCAACCTAAATGCTTCTATGATTCTGTGTTTCTAAGCACAGAACTGCAGGACTTGTGTTTTTCCACTTCATAATGTGCGGTGAAGATGAATACATTAAAACCATGTGCGCAGACACTGTAGGAATAGGTGTGTAAGCTCCAAGAAAATTTGGACAGAACATAGGAACGTCTAGTTCCACAACCCAAACAAAGCAACAACAGCAAAAAAAGCAAAACCAACCAAACAAAAGCCCCTCTACAAAGCCGAACCAACAAAACTACCAAACCCACAGTTATAAAACCAGAAAGTCATGTTTCAGAAAGGTAATCTAGTTTTGGCAAAATACTGCTAGGTTCACCTCTAACTTGTGAACTACCAGTATAGGAGGAATAATGTTGTTGATAAACAGGGGGGAAAATAAGCCCCACAATGCCTAACAGGTACAGAATTTCCACTAGCTAATGCAAAACCTGTGCTGCAGGTAAGAGCCAGAAAAACACACATCCTGTGGCAAGGATTTGAGCATAAATGCGGCACCTCATTAATAAAGTATTTATATTACTAGAATTTATCTTTTCCTATTTCTCTCCATCCACACTTAATTTCTCTTTCTTGCTGTTCTGTTTTCTTCCTTGCACATTTTTCCCCTAAAGCAGAGCATGAGAATTGTATCATGATCAGAAGGACATTCTCCTTGAGGTAACTCAAGTGCATTTGTGACCCAGCAAGAGGAGTTCAATTTTCTCTACTACCCAAAGGAGAGAGAAGTGAAAATTCAAATTGCACTCTTTTTCCCAAGGCTTGGTGCGCTCTTTCTGTTCCACAGAGTTGGAGCAATCCTGCCAACTGCTTTCCACACATTCCTCAGAAGGGCAGACCCTGGCACAGCCGTTCCCCTGATCCTGCACTCCAGATGAATCCCTAGCAAAGCAAACAGACACCAAGGCAGTGCGAATCCACAGCCAGGCCTCTCCGTGTGGAATTCACTCAGCATGGCACGGGCTTAAGCCAAGGATTTCAGTTCAGGGAGCGACTTCAGCATGTGAATTAAAACACTCTCAACAGTGTGTGTTACCACTTGGCCGCTGGCCCGCCTTGGGAACATCTGCAGCAGCGGCTTCCAAGGGGCAGAGCGCTGCTCCCACCACATCTGGAGCGGCACAGCTGGCCTGCAGCCAACCCTTGCTGCTCACAGGGGTCACTGCAGGGCTCCAAGTGCAGCCATGAGCCAAGTTCGTGAGTACAGAGAGCAGCAGAGCAACTGGACTTGCTCCTCTCGCACCATCAGATTAGGGCCAGGAAACTCTCACGTTTTGGGACAAACTGCACCAGAAGTTTTCCCTTTTTTTGGGCAGGGAGAAAACCTGTAACTCAACTCGGCTATTTTAGTTTACAGCCTGCTTGAAGCTCTGATGTTCACACCGGATGCAAGGAGGCACCTGCTCACCACCCAGTCGCAGCGGGAACCTCACACCCAACATCCACAACAGCCTTTTGGAAAACCAATCCCAAACCCACAGCCAGCCTTAGGCACAAGGCATTTTTAAAAGACCCCCAGCGAGTGCTTTGTAATTAGAAATCGCAGGAAGTGACTCAGACATCCTTTGAATTTTAATTTTCCCTCAGTTTCTAATTTAGCCAGAAGGCATCCATTAGTCCCCAGTTAGGAGTATCTACCATCTTTGAAACTTGGAGATTCACAGAGAGCAAACAGCTCTTCGTGCAGCAGGTCCCAGTTGAAGGATGTAAATGGGGAACTGCACGGAGCGCCATTTATTTACACTGTGTTGGAAACACGAAAGGTTGAGCTGACCCTCCTATGATTCAAATCTGAGTTTACAGCGTCATTCATCATCTCAGAATGGGTTTGTTCCAGTCTCCTTGAACAAAACTATTTTCTCCTCACATTTGCTGCACTGAATTGGCTGAATTTCAATTCCAAGGTGTATTGTACAAAGAACAGTTTTGGAGTGAAAGGTGTCAAGCTGGCAAAAATTGAAAATTAGATTGGAATAAAATCTAATTCTTTTAATATAGAAAGTGTTTAGTTTTAGCTCTGTAATATAATTTAAAGTCACATAGCAATCATGTTTCTTGGCTATGGAGGCAGGTTTTCATCTCTAGCTGGAGGAGACAAAGGATTTTAATAGGGAATTATGCAACAAATAGGTGGAGAACTTCTGTCACAGAGTAGGAAAATACTTTGCAACTCTGAGCACAGAATATTTGCTGCTATCAGGGACATCATTTGCAACCCACTTGCTGGGTGACCTCTGCTGGGTTTCGGTCATGCACTAAAACCCACCTTTTGTTGTACCAGGTGATCTTATCAATGACCTAACGAGAGCAGGAACCAAAAAAGTCTCCCAGCACTGTGATTTTGTTGATGCTCCTTTAGCATCTGGAGATGGTGAGGGGCAGATGGGGGCTCAAGCTTCCTCCTGTCAGGAAAAATGACTCTCTCAACTTTTCCCTTCTCCCAGGCTGTCTCTTGCAGGCTCCAGGTGTAAAATCAGAAGGTGGAAGCGGCACTTCCCTCCCGCATTTTGGGCGGGCGGGAGGGGAGGTGGTCCAACCGCACAATGACAGATTATGCAAATCCTGGCGAAGCATCTAATCAATCACGGCGGTGGCGGAGGGATGCAGCTCATCTCCGAATTAGCCTCCACCGCCGCGTCCTCGCGTGAAGCATCCCCCCCCCTTCGGCTGGAATGACATCAGAGCGGCTCCGAGCCCTTGAAAGTCTGCGGGGCTGATTAGCGGGAGGAACCGGCCGCTTCTGCCAATCGCAGCCCTGCGAAGCCGCCCCGATACTCCTGGAGATACGAGGGAGAGGAGGCTGGCTCCAGCGAGCGGGAGAGCTCAGCGGCAGCGCTGACGGGAGCGGCTGCCATCGGGGTGATCGAACACTTGCCGCTGCCTCTCCGCTGGAGCCCGGCTGCTCCCCGCCGTAATCCCCGCGCCCTAGGAGGAAGCTGCGTTTCCAGCGGTGTGCCGAGCTTGAGGTTCGAATCGTCGCAGCTGGCTGCCCGCTCTGGGAAGGACAGTCTGTGTGTAAATGAGATGTGACTGCGTGGCGGCAGAGTTCGGTCACTGGGGCTGGAGCAAGAGGAGCCTTCCCGGGATGCCGCTCAGAATACCAGCTGAAAAACTCTCCCTAGTTTAACCTGGAGCCATGTGAAGAGGTTTGAATAGCAGATGCCTCTCTCCTGCATGCTAGCAAGAGAAATTCTTCTGTAGGTAAGCTACTGTTCAGCTTCTCAACCTATACTTCTGGGGAAATATTCATACAGCTACACAGACGGTGCCTGGACTCAGACTAGAAAGCAGAGCCCAGCAGGTACAAATATCTACACAGCACGTCCAACAGTGTACCTTGAACCTGTGCACAGTGAGTACCTCAGAAAGCTGCCTAGAGCCTGGCATTCCAAGGAACATATGAAAGTTTGGGATACACTTTGCCATGTTTGCATGCAAGTGCCCTCGAGGTAAATAGATGCACACTCTCGGAAGGGAAACTTGTTTGCCTAAATAGATGAAGGATCCCAGAAGGTAGAGCTTGGGAAGTTATGTGTGGGGGAAAAGAGGATGCTGTTGCAGCTCTCTAGTCCACTCCGTATTCTTTGCTTTCCTTTGCTACCATCTAGCAAAGTTAAGCAGAACTACTGTATTAAAATTAGAAGGTGAAAGTTTGGGCATATATTAAACACGCACTATTTAAAGTAAGAGTAATTGTACTGTGAGGAAGCCAAGACCTACAGAGCTGCTCTCTTGCAGCACTTTGATACCAAGCAACATCTGTCAGCAACATTTTTTTTTTTAAAGAGCATGGCCATTCATAGCGTGGAAGCAGTGGTTGTTTCAGGTAGTGAGAACCAAACTGAAGAAATCAGTGTGTGCTCTTCAGACACTACAAAGCCAGGGTCCAGCAGCAGCCCAGTGTTTTTATCTCCCAGCTGGCACAGCAACTCCAAGTCATTGCTGCTGGTAATGAGTAAGTGAATAAGTCTCTTCCTACAAGCACTACACTCGAGTCAGCACACACACAAACAGAACCCCACACGCACCGAGTTCTCTTTTCCCCAGGGAATTTACCATGCCATTCTACCCAATTTACCATTTCCCATTGCTAACTTCTGCAGTTCTCAATCACGTTGCTTGAACCCTCCCACCCTGGGGAATAAATGCTGCAGAGTCTGGTCTACCCCATGTAGCAGGTCACTCTGCCTTTTCGAGCTCTGAATGTTATCAGAGAAAAAAAAAAGTCATTTTCATCCCATTTCGTCAGTAATTTTAATTAAGATCCTCCTGCTACAAGATGTTCAGCTTGTGGAAGGGTAGCAGACTCTCCTTGCTCATAAAGTTTCAATAGTTGGCGATGTTTCCAGGTGCTTCCCTGTGTTGCCCCACCATGCCTGTATGCTTCCCTCACGCACAGTTTTGCATCCCCCCAGCTGCTCTGTCTGACTTGCTCTCTGAAATGCTGCTCTAAAGGAAGGGGAGGGGGTGGTGTGTGAAATGCCAAGCTGCTTTTAACTAAAAAAATTCCCGGCTTCCAGTTTGCTCCTGAATCTTATCAATGCAGATAATATGATCTTCCCAATTAGATTAGATGTTCCTAATGGCATCGCTCTGTGTAGAAGTTGAAGGCTGTGTATTCATTTTTTGTGCCATTTCCTCAGAACATGGCCATTTTTTGGATTCATAATAGATGCCTAATGTCTGAAAGCCCCAGAAATGAAAGCAGGAGTATCCTAATGTCTTGTTGACACCACTCTCTTCTGTGAGGCTGGAGAACTACTCCTCTAACTTCCATTTTTTTGGAGTAAATCAGATCCAAAGGGTTAGATTAAAGCAGAATGCTTGAGTGACTGACCACTTCCACACACACATATATATACACATATATGTCCCCACATATAATTCCATTTCAGTCTGAACACCCTGTTAACTCACAGTATCAAGTTCTGGAAGTCCTGTTAAAACCTGATGGGTGTTTAGAGGTTGTGATATCTGCTGTATCACTCCTTATAATGGCAATGAGCAAACTTAGCTGATGTGGCAGCATGCAGCGATCACGAGCTCCTCTAGAGTTCAACTATCACTCAGCACAAGTGGAAGAAAAATATGCTCATAGTAAAGGTGGGTTTTTTTAAGGTTTACAGTACAGGAATTGTCCCAGCAGTATAATGAGATACTTGAAGGAAAACGTGGCTATATATCGCAAACCCATGGCAATACTGAGCAAAGAAAACGCTGGTGAGTTACTATTAGTTGGGACGTGGAGTTTTCAGTTGGATAAACAAAAAAATTGCATTTCACCATGTGCCCCCAGACAAAGATTTTTCTCGTTTTTCTACAAGGAATAAGGGAAAGAATGCCATGCTATTTTACCAACAAACAAACAAACAAAAAACAAAGAAACAAAAACCATAATTTCTGTTCCAAATCTTTCTGCTTTAGCCCACAAGCAATTCTGGTTTGATTGCCCCTATGACCATAGGGCTGGCTGAGTTTCAGCTGCACACGTGCACTGATGTGTGCTTCCATCAAGTGTTTGCTTTGCCAGCTTTCATCATCACACAACCACAGAGTGGTTTGGGTTGGGAGGGACCCTCAAGATCATTTAGTTCCAACCCCCTCTGTCCTGGACAGGGACACCTCTCTTCAGCTTCAGAGGTTTGGAGATAGGCTGAAGGAGGCTCATATCACAGCAACAAGTCCTATTAGGGTGTGAAAGCAATGCTCCTCGGGAAGGTAAGCAACCCAGAAGGGTGTTAGAGAGAAATACAGAATTAATTCTCCATCTATGTCAACATTTAAATTAGAAAAATTGAGCTATTAAAAGAATCGGGTGCTGGAAGAAATGAAAATCATTCGCATCAATCCAAAACATTTATTACAGCTACTGTCAGGAATAATTACAATGGGATCACAGATTCTTCTGAAACGAAGAGTTGCTACAGAAAAATAATAATATTTTAGATAAAACAGTGATGCCACCAGAATCACGTGGCAACAGCTCACCAGGGTAGAAACCATGTCACTGTTTGACGAGGAAAACTCCCTGGCACCAGAAGTCATATAAGGTCATGAGATGATTCAAACTCAATTCCAAAAGAAGAGAGAAGCATTTAAACCTATTTCCTCCCCTCTGGCTACAGGAGGGGTCACAACTGCCCTCCCCAGGTGAGCAAATGAACCCTCCCTCACTGTCAGACCCACAGCAGAGAGAAGGATGTGAACAGGCTCTTCCCTGAGCAGACCTGCACAAAACCTCCCCTCCTGCAGGGCTATCCACAGCTACTTATGCCACCCCACACTCTGCCAGGCATCCACTGAAAGCATTGCATTTAGCTCTTAGTGTATTAATAAGTGTTCTGATTAATAATTCATAGGAGCTGCTGGCCATAAAAGAGGCGACTGGTTGGGAAGTTGAAACAGTCTGTCATGAAATATGCACCCACCTCTACGTTCCAGTTTCAGGGGAGGTTTCAGCCAACATCTTTTCCTTTGCGTGGGACCATATTTTGCAAGGAGAAGACCAGAGCTCAAGGTTCCAGAGCCTCGGGCTATTCTTGACTTTATTCTCTCTCACTGGGATATTTATCACTCCCTTAAACCACCAGAGGAAAGGGCAGGTGGTCAGTGCTTCTCAGGGAAATTTTTGGAAATGAGAGGAAACATTCAGTATCCAGGCCTCTGGCTAAAATACAGAAATCAAACTTACTGGTCACAATTGATTTTAAAGCCCTCAGAGATTTTTTTTTTTTTTAATTTAAACCAAAGCAGGGCCATCTGCCTTGATATTTTGCCAGACTACCTGCATTCTACCTACGTAAATAGCTGGAATAACAGACTAGGGCACCTTTAGTCATGACTGGTCAATAGACTGTATTTGGTTTGCAATTTTAAATGGTTTCACTATTCTACCCCCAAACTGCTCAGGGTGGAACCATGCATCAGAAGCCTGATGAATGAATCACCTGCAGAACAGTATGTTACTATAATTTGTACCTGAAAAACCAAAATTAAAGAGAACTCTGTGACATGCACTGTCCACATGACAAGCAAAGCAAGCCATGCACACCTCAAAACTCAGGCTCCTGTAAGACCAGCTCTCCAGCAGCCTTGGAGCAAGCTCCATGTGCCTGCAAAAACCAGCAGCAATCATCCTGCAGATCCAGACTTCTAGCTGAAGTGCCTCCAAAAAGGCTTTGTCCTCCATGCACAAATATTTATGATCAGGCAGAAAATTTAAGTATCTATGTACATATTGCCTAAAACAGAGCTTTATCGGTCACAGCATATCATTGTGTTAATTAATGAGACATCATTCTGTTGGTTTGTAAGACCCTTCCATAAACCAGAAAGCCAGGATTTTCCCTTCCACGATACACCCAGGACATGGAAAACACAGCTACAGTTGTGCACTCAGAGAGACTTTGACAACCACTTGGATTTTTTTTTTTTTCATTCCACACCCTCCCCCTTCCAATGCAAGTTAATGCCTCAGTAGTTCAATAAACAGAGATTTTTCATGAAAACAAGAGGTTAATCAAAGCCTCTCCACTCTGTCACAGAGCCCTAATGGTATTAGTTCTAGTTCCAGTCTCTGAGCTCAGCGTGACTCAACAAAAAAAACAAACCCCTGAATTCCCAAGTAGGACCCTTATCCTACTAGTGGCATTTCCAAATTGAACTTTATCTCGACAAAACGAAGCATACATCTTTTGAAAGGCAACATTTGTTTATATTTGGCACCAAGAGAAAAAAACAGTATCTATAGGTCACAGATGACACAACCAGAAATCTCTAAAGAGATCTTTCATTTGACTGACAAAGTGGCTTCTCACAGAGAAACCCCCTAAAAACAGCGGCAGAAATAAACACAAAGGAATTTAACCAGGGTACAAGGAATAAGAAAAAGGAAGCAAGCTCTGCAAACACATCTGACTGTACATGAAAGTATGGATTTTGCACTGGCTTTCCCAAATGAACCCTCTGCAATATCCACGCTAGGCACATTGGAACCAAACATGAATCATCTTAGAACAATTTACAGCTAATGTGCACGGAAAGGTAGAAAAGGGTAATATTCCCACAGCACAGCCAGAAAAATCAAAGTACTAGAAAAAGCCAGTGGCCTCCAGAGAGCAAAACATGATGGTGGTGGCAGAAAGACAGAAATCAGGGGTTCAGCTCCCTGCCTCATCCTCCCATCATCAGGCATTGGTCCT